AGAGCCCTGTCTGAAGCATTCTATCTCTTACCTCAGTCTCACTGGGTGAGTTCTTCCTCCCTTTAGAGAAGACCAGGCTACCCAGGCTTTTAATCATCTCCCCATTTCCTGTCCTCTTTTCAGCATTTGGGCTTGTAGAAAAAGGATTAAAAATGTCTTAATTTGGTCCGAGAAGTAACTACTCTTAAACTATTCGGTGCTCCCAAAGGAAAGACACCAGAATAATGCACGGAGTACTCCCCCCACCCTTCACACTCCCTTTGGCTGTTCTCCAAAGCTTCTAGCCCTGTTGAAAAACTCAGTGTGAAAATTAAATGTATTGGAGTCTCCTGTACTGCTAGGGTGCACTACAGAGACATCTGTTCTTTCGCTACAAGAATAAGGTCAACACTACCACATGTAACTGCCCCTCTTCATCTTGCAAGAAAATTGGTCTACTAATTCTCTAACTATTTCTGTACTTCAAGCAGAAGAATCAACTGCCATGCAACTGTTCTTTATGCTGTATTTCTTCTCAGGTTGATCTGATAGCCACCTGTTGGCTTCTTGCAGGTCTCTCAATTAAGGCTATATGAGTTTCCATTTACAACCAGTATATTGTAGAGGGAAATGCTGACACTTGACTCTCTTCATTTACCTGCTAATTTTAGCCTTCATTAATGACTTTTGCTTACCATGGTCATTTCTGTGATATTTACTAAAACTGACTTCATAATTTTCTGATTTCTTCTACATTTATTAAATGAATTTCACTCAAAAGAAAGAACTGCCTTATTTTCCTTTTTTTGTTTATTCAATTATTTACATCATTGTGGTCAATGGATAAGTACCTTATCTTGCTTTGCCTGGTTCGTCACGAAAGGCAGCCATTTATCTGTGCATTCCCTGTTCATTTACTTGGGAATGGCATTTAGAAACTGAATTCTGTGCCTTAGATAGCTTACTACATGGAGACTGTATTTTGGGGGTTGTAATATTTTTAAGTTTGATTTTATTAATTTATATTTATATCTTTAGTTTTCTAAGTTAAGTTGGCCATTCATCTCATTTTATAGTTTTTTTTTTTTAAGTAAAACTATTTCTTGCTGTTAATTTCCAAGTACAGCTTCCATTCATTAGCACATCTATTAACTATTCAGTGAATGTGGCTGGATCCTAACCTAGTGCTTGAGCCACAGTTAAATGAAAAGGAACTATTTCTATTGTTTGGTTTATACCCTGGCAAAGAAAGACAATAATCATTTTAACTGTATTCCAATTAGTTTTGATGTATTTTCATTATTATGCATTTCATGGGTTCTGCTATGCTTTCTCATTTCCTTAGGGACCATTTGCTGTGGTCATAGAATATGGCTTAATATTTTTATTTTTTATTTTTTATGGCTTAATTTTTTAAGAGTTGTTTTGTGAACTTAGGCAAGTCTTGTACTTGCTATCATGTTTCTGTGAGTTCATATGTGTAACAGCCCTATTGTCTCTGGAAGACTGTTGCTTTGGAGTCATCCACTACCTCCGGCCCTTTCAATTGTCCCCTCCTCTTTCTTCATAGGTCTCTGATCCCTGAGGGAAGGGGTTTGCTGAAGACAGACATTTAGACATTACATTTAGACAGTACATTTAGACAGTACACTCATTTCAAAGTCTCTCACTCTCTTCACATTGTTTCCTTGTGGGGTTCTGTTAATTACTAGCTACTACAAGAGGAGTCTACTCTGGTGAGGGTTGAGAGATGCACTGATACATGGTATTGTAATATGTCATTAAGGGTCATTTTATTGCTTCGTTCCTTTAGCAGATAATAATAATAGGTTTTCCCCTCAAGTTCGTGACCTATGTAGTCCCACATTCCTGGTCACTTTAGTAGTGTCAGGAATGGGTTTCATCTCAAAGATTGGACCTCAATCCAACCAAAAGGTGGTTGGTTATTTCCATAACATTTATGTCATTGTTGTGCTAGTATATTTTGCATGCAGGCCACTGTTGCAGGTCACAATTTATAGTTGTGTGATAGTGATGATTGCTTTTCTCTCCTGGTAGTGTGCAGAACACCTTCCAGCACCATAATACTAGTTAGTATTCTAACTGGGCACCTGTTTGAGTTCCCCATGTTCATTGGACAGTGTGGGGAAGGAGAACTGAACACAAATTCTGCCTTAACCAAGAAGCTCTTATAATTGATACCTGTTGGGACAGTGAAAATCTGTTTTCTCCAATGCAGTGCCACTGTGTATATCACTTCTACTCCGGGACAGGCCTCATGTCTAGGACTAGTATACAAACAGAAAACAAACTGTGTTTGTGTAGGTGCTCCTTTTGTTTTGGTCTCTTGGGTATTTTTTGTTTTATTGGTTTTTCATTTGTTTGTTTGTTTGTTGTTTTTTGTTTGTGAGAGAGAGAGTTCACAGAGTTGCGTAGGCATGAAGGTGGTAAGGTTATAGGAGGAGTTGCAGGTAGAAAATACTACATGAATGATTTTATTTAAAATAAAAAAAAGGAATTAAAGAAGGGAGTTATTTTCCAGATACAAATTTGGACAATTTAAAAGTAATATTTTATGCGTTCTTGAAGAGAATATGTGTTCTTTACTGTTTTTAAGTCTAGCTTCTAGAGAAAAATTGTGAACTGTGCAGTTTGGATCTGTTTCGTCTGTTTGACTGTACATTATTGAGTGCCATTAATATTTTCCACTGTTTTGTCACTAGTTTTTACCTGTAGTTCTACTAGTTGTTGATTTATATATTTTAAAATTATTGCTATATACTTTCAAGTTATATTATCTTCATTACACAGTTTCTTTCATGACTGGCTTGTTATCTATTAATTCTTCCCTCAGTTTCTTCAGTTTTGAAACTTCATGTTCTAGCTTTCTTCATTCTTTCAATTAATTTTGTTGTATTAGCTTATTTTCTATCTTCTGTTCAACATAGCAATTTGCCATCATCAAGCTTAAGTTTGTGTTTTATCAATAGTATGGATTAATCTGAGATTTAACAGCATGGCACTTTCCTATTTTAGGCTGATGAACTTAATCTATTTAAACTCCTGAAGATACTTGAAATTATATCAGATAATATACATCATTATTTCATGTGTTTATGTTGAACTCATGTTAGATGCTAACACAGTTCAGTCATTATTTTCCTCTTGAGTCCCTTTCGTGGGACCTGCTATAGATCTAATATTCAATGTTTCCCATGAAAGTTTGACAAAATACTTTAAAAATAGTCATTTAGGCAATTCATACAGTACTCAGTTATCACAGTCATGTTGTGATAACATTTTCCCTAACTAATTTCAAATTTTCTTTCCACTACTCTATTCTAGGCTCATTAGTTTTTCTACATGTGTAATAATTTTAGTTAATGCCAATTCAATTTTTGTTAACACCTATTCAATGACTAATTTATTGTGCAAAACTGTCATTAATATGCACCATCAGTAGTTGGAAAGAGGACTTGTAGGATTGAGTTTATGCACAAGCACTATAGTTATGTTTAGCTAATACATGCTGGACAACATCTGTAAGATGTCATTAGTTCTCAAATGCATTCAGATATCAGAGGTGTTAAACACAATTTCTGTCAATGTCTTTGTTCAGTGTTGCAATATTGCACTTATATAAGTAATTGATGGATATCTGATTTTTTTTCAGCATACAATAAAAGCAGATGCTATGGAATTTTTTGATGTCATTTGAATATCTAGAATAGGCTTGGCTTATAATTAAAAGCAGATATTCATTTCTTCAACTAACTGACTAACCATTGTAATGCAACTGGAACAGTGTTTGTGTATGTAGCACCCAGGTTGTTTGTTTTTTGTTTGTTTGTTTGTTTGTTTTGTTTGTTTTCACTTGGACCAGTTCTTTCTGGGGAGACAGGTCAGCTTCAGTTGTTTTAGTACTCACAACAGAGACCATATAGCTGACACTATCTGGCTTAGAATCCCTCCCATGCATGCTGGTTTCAAAGGATTATGGTATTTTTTCAGGTCCATTGGTGGTTTGGAGGCATGGGACAAGATCTTATTCCTCAAGGAAGCATGCCACCCCATACCAGATTAAGGAAGACAACAACCTTGGTGTCCCTCCCAAGCACTCTCATTCCTTAGATTGGTCATGCTTTCTTGTCTTACCAAACATAGCAGGGAACATGCAACTGTCACTACAGGGAGAGGCCACACCATTCCATACAATGTGGGGGAAAGGTAGCCATGTTAGGATTGCCCCTTTTGGCATTCCCCCTACAGACAGATCAGCATTAGTTGTATATAGTATCATCCATTGCCATTGTTCCTCTTTATTTATTTGAGGTTTTTGTGTTCCTGCATCATGTATACTTTGCCAGTTTCTGGGGAAACCCCAGATATGATGCCAGGAACAGACCTAGGGAAACAGTCCACTCAAAACTAGTTTAGCAGACCATTGAGTTTATTGGTGTTACTTATAGAAGCATGGCTGAGGGCCTCTTTATGGAGCATGGATCATTTGGGCAGCTGGATTAATGAGAAGCCCACCCTGGCATGGATGTGAGAACTATATCCTTGGAACACCCTGAACAGCCTTAATCTCATCTGTTTTAGCTTTCTCACCTTCCCCTGCACTTAGATTATGTGATCAATTTGGAGGCTGTCCTGGAACTAGCTCTTGAAGACCAGGCTGGTCTTGAACTCACAGAGATTCACCGGCCTCTGCCTCCTGAGTTCTGGGATTAAAGGCGTGCACCACTACCTCCTGGCCTGTTCATTTCTTATATCTGAATGTTTGAATATAGAATATGATAAGTAGTATGTTCTGTGTCAGACAGAGTTTCAGGCCTCAATCTATTGTTCTTACTGAGAAATTTAATCCATTTCCCCAACTTCAGCAACACCTTTTGTAAAGTGGTGATGGTGCCACAGTTATAAGAGGCTTTGGGGATAATCGGATAATCTAGTTCATGTACATATATCTAAAATCTCTCTGTGATGTGGAATAACTGTCACTTGTCTTTTTTCTGCAGCTTTCTCCACAAATAAACCAAACAAAGATGCAAGACATGTAATAAAAGTGGTAAGTGTTGTTCTTACATTTATAGTCCATATTTCTGACTTTTCCCCATTCTGCTTTATTCTCATAAGAAATACGTTCTTTCCTTCCCTCTTTTAGGTAGTAAGGGCCGTAAGGTAAGTCTTAGGATTTCACTTCTGTCCATGTCCCTGGGTATGGAACAATGAATAACATGGATAGACTGTTAGTGAAGGAGTCATGTGTGAGAGGACCCCATGGTACTTTCCAGTATGCCTGTCCAGAAGACATGTTGCTATACAGCCAGTGCTTATTTATGTATACAGTTCTGAGTGCTTTTGAGAAGATCTTTGCAGAAGACTTTTTTCATGTGTAAGACTATATTGGGATAGCAGTACAATATGTTGTCTAAAATGGGACTTTTCAAGTTTATTTAGTGTTTTCTTTTTTTTTTTTTAGTAGAAATCTGGTGCTTGTTTGATGAAGAATAATTCTATAACTATTATGTATTTTGCATGTGAATGTTTATATTTTCACAGTTGAAACATCATTGTTTTATCTTTAGGATAATTCTCCCTATTAAAATTAATTATTTCTCTTTCATAGGAATATCAAGAGAATGGCCCATTATTTTCAGAACTTAAATTTTATCAGAGAGCTGCAAAAAAAGAATATAGTAAGTAAAAATAACTAAGCAGCTCTGCCATGCATGGACTTGCTAAAGTGAGGGTTAATATTTTGGTCTTTTTCTGGCCTTCTGGAAAATTCTTTTCCATATGAAATTTTATTGTAAAGTGATGTACTTAACTGTTATAACATATAAAAGCAAGACAGATGGTATACACATTTGATATGGCACACATAACGGGTTATATATTTTAAGTCAAAGTTTTTCTACTATTTTACATAACATGCTGACTTGTAGAATTATCAAGAGTTCTCTAAGCAAAAAATATTGTAGAATGAAATTATTTCTTTTATAAAGATGCATTTAGATAGAAAGCATACAGTGACAAAACTAAAGAAGGTAGAATACACACACACATACACACACACACACACACACACACACACACACACACACACAAAGGGAAAAGTTGTAAGGTGGATTAAAATGTTTGGAAATGATTAAATGTGAGATGTTTAAGAAAATATTAGAAAGGTGAATGTTGGGAAGTTGTTTGGAGCTAGATAGCAAATAAGAACTACCAACTGGAGAGTTGAATGTGAAATGATTATAAGCAGAGATGAAGAACAGTGAAGAGGTTTCCAAGAACTAAGTGAAACATTGTGGATGTCTGGAGGAGTCATAATGACTAGAATGGTCAAGGTCCTTTATCTTGTTTAGGAGAAAGAATGATGGATCTGGCCCAAATAATTAACTTTGCTTTCCTTAATAAAGCTTCCAAACACTATGACTATAGTCTTTACCAACTGCTTCAACTATGTCAGAGTGACAAATAGAATCCATTAAATTTGATTGTTTTATCAGGAAAGCTGTCTTAAGCATAAAACACATATGGGAGAGAAGTGAAAACAGTGATTAAACTACCTGATTGTTTAACTGGATTAAACAATTCAATTATGATTTTTTTTGTAAACTAAATTTATTTAAAACAGTTATTTTACAGAGTAAATAACTTTTAATTTCAGAGTTAGGTACTTTTTCTGCCCTATTTGTATTTTCTGGACTAACATGGTTTTAGACTTCAAGGAAGGCAGCAGTGGGGAGAAATGCCCCTCCTTTGTAGTCAACATGTATTACATTTAGAAACTTGGCTAGCATATGATGAAATGATTTGTTTTCATGAATAGAAATATTTATGAGTGATAACAACATACTTTGTAAGAATATGTCTTTTATGGTACTAGTAATTTTGTTTTTTAAGTATTTTATATTAATTATAGTAGAAACAAAAATGTTTGAAGACAAGAGATTGGTATATCTATTTTTATCAATATTTTATTTTCTTAGGTCTAATTACTATTTTAGTTAGATAATTAAGTCTTAGCATGTCTACAAATGTAAAATACCTTTAAAAATCATGTTTCTTGTTAATTTTTCTTTGCAGTTAGAAAGTGGATAGAAAAGAAAAAACTTGATTACTTAGGAGTTCCTCTATTTTACGGATTTGGTCTGACTGACTTCAAAGGAAGAAGGTAAAAACATATAATCATATCAAATTTATAGAATCAGTTATTACTACTAAATAACATTTCCTCAGTGCTCTGTCTGATGTTTCTTTTTGGCCAGGTAATAAACTACTCAAAACATATCTTGGTTTCTGGGCATCAGGAAGCCCCTGGTGGCTCATCTGCTTGGTTCTAGACTCTGGTCTCTCTGGAGAATGTAATCAGGCTGTCATCATCTTAGGTCCTAACCTGGGAACTACCTGCTTGCAGTGGTCACTCATGTGACTGTTGACAAGCCTAAGGTGTCTCTGCAAGGGACTATCTGTGTGTTATAGGGAAGCACAGGGGTTTTCCCCAGAGAGAATGGGTGGGAGGGAGGGAGGAAGAGAGAGGGAGAGAGAGAGAGAATATGAATATAAATACACAGGGAAGTGAGGCCGAGCTGGAGGTCATAGTATTTCTTAATAATCTAATCATAAACGTGATATCCTAGCACACATTCAGTCGGTCAGTCAGCCACTAGGTCCACCTCTGAAAGACAGGAGAGAAATAACTCCACCTTGAGGAAATACACAGCAAAATATTTATAAAGCAATTCTTGAATGTGTGTATTAACACATACAAAATTCATTAGTTCTGACTTTGAAAAAGTCATTTGTTTTGCACCCATTTTGTTGCAGGGAGTGTCATAGAAGTATCCTATTTTGCTATTTTTTTAGATTTGAATTAGAAACAGGATTGTTTTACATGACAATCCCAGTTCCCTTCTCCCACCCGTCCTCCCCTACCACCCACCCCAACTAAAACTCTACCTATCACATATCCTTTCTGTTCCCCCTGGATGGTGAGGCCTTCCATAGGGTGTCATCAGAGTCTATTGTATCCTTTGGGATAGGGCCTAGGCTACCCCCGTGTATCTTGGCTCAGGGAGTATTCCTCTATGTGGAATGGGCTCCCAAAGTCCACACCTATGCTAGGGATAAGTACTGAACTTCTACAGGAGATCCCGTAGATTTCCGAGGTTTCCTCACAGAAACCCATGTTCCTGGGGTCTGGGTCAGTCCCATGCTGGTATTCCAGCTATCAGTCTGGGGAGCAAGAGTTCCCTGATGTTCAGATCAGCTGTTTCTGTGGGTTTCACCAGCCTGGACCCCTGTGCTCTTCACTCGTCCTTCTCTGCGTCTGGGTTCCAGTTCAGTTCGGTGATTAGTTGTGGGTGTCTGCTTCTACTTCCACCAGCTGCTGGATGAAGGCAATAGGATTGCATATAAGTTATTCATCAATCTCATTATCAGGGGAGGGCATTTAAGGTAGCTTCTCCTCTGTTGTTTAGATTGTTAGTTGGGGTCAATTTTGTAGATCTCCAGACCTTTCCCTAGTGCCTGATTTCTCTGTAGACCTAAAATGTCTCTGCCCCCAACTTGAGACCTATTTTGCCATTTTTAGACAGATGATAGTTGTACAGAAAATAGGCTCAGGTATCAGTCCTCTGTTTAAATACCTTTTTGTTTTTCAAGAAAGGGTTCTCTGTGTAGCTCTGGCTATCCTAGAACTCGCTCTATAGACCAGGCAGGCCTTGAACTCACAGAGATCCACCTGCCTCTGCCTCT